GAAATGTCATTAAATTTGCTCATCTACTTTTGTGTCTTTGAGTTTAAAATTTTTCTCATAAAGGCTTCTAACATTTCCTAGATTGTTATTGCTAAGTACCTAACTACTTCATTGCTATTGTTAATAGAGGTTTTTTCTTTTTCTCTTCCACTGTATTCTATCCTGACTGCTTGTATGTTTATAAGATGAAGGCTACTTTTTTTTTTTTTTTTTTTCTTTTTTTTTTTTGAGATGGAGTCTTGCCTTGTTGCCCAGGCTAGTGTGCAGTGGAGTGATCTTGGCTCACTGCAACCTCTGCCTCTGGGGTTCAAATAATTCTCCTACCTCAGCCTCCCAAGTAGCTGGGATTACAGGTGCCCACCACCGCACCCAGGTAATTTTTGCATTTTTAGTAGAGATGGGGTAATTTTTGTGTTGTTTTAGTAGAGACGGGGTTTCACCATGTTGGCCAGGCTGGTCTCGAACTCCTGACCTCAAGTGATCCGCCTGCCTATAGGTGTGAGCCACCGCACCCAGGTAATTTTGAATTTTTGATAGAGATGGGGTTTCACCATGTTGGCCAGACTGGTGTCAAACTGCTGACCTCAAGTGATCTGCCTGCCTCAGCCTCTGAAAGTGCTGGAATTACAGGCGTGAACCACCACGCCCGGCCTGAAGGCTCCATTTTGTTTAAATTAGTCTTACCATTAATTCTGCAGGATTTTCCATGTTCCATCATATCATCTACATATAGAGATAGTTTTTCATCTTCATTTCTAATTATTCTTTTAGTTATTTTTCCTTTCCTAATTGCATTAGCTTATATTTCCAGTGCAATTGAAACAGTAGTAGCAATACTATGCATCCTTAATCCTCGCCTTATTCTTGACCTTAGTCAGTATCTCTAGTGTCTCTCCAAGCTGCTAAGACATCTGGAGAAACAGATGAAGTTTCTAATACTGAACCATGGTTGAATTCCTAGAATAAATCCTTCTTAGTTGTGCCGTAGATTTTTTTCTTTCAGATGTGGTCTCACTATGTTGCCCTGCCTGGCCTCAAACTCCTGGGCTCAAGCAATCCACCTGCCTCAGCTTCCCAAGTAGCTGGGACCACAGGTGTGTGCCACCACGCCCAGCTAAGTTGTTTGGTTTT